GACGTAGCTGGTTAACTGTAAACATAAGGCCAACTCAATCGAATAAAGGAGTCATACACGCTAATTAAAAACATTCATACGAAATGGGACCCACGTACCTCGAGTACTTGCTTCAGATGATCGAGGGAAACATTTCCAGTGGCATCAGTTTTCAGACGAGTAATTTTTGCCGCCATATGTCGCCAGGGCAACATGTTAGAGTGATGCTCAAAAGGTCCCACAACAACAATCTACTTGAAGGATTGGTTAAATTTATGAGGAAGATTACTGGAGGCTTCATTATATGAAGGTTATGGATAAGTTTGTGTACAGCACCTGTACAACCACTACCAACAAAAAATACTGCATCGTAGTCACTGGCACGCACTGCATTCCTCACGATGTCTTTGGCCTCGTGCCGAAACAGTGTAGTCTGTAATGAGGTAATGCTTGTTGTAGTGTGTGTGTTTCCGTAGTGAGGAAGAACCTCATTATAAATGAAGTTCTCTATGAAGGAGAGAGCTCGTCCAGAGGCGATGAAATCACAGTAAACAACTAGGAGAAAAGGAAGAAAGAATTCCTAATGCAAGGATACACAAACACAAGTTAGAATAAAAGGGTGGGAGGTAACAGAGCCTCCGTTTTCGACTTCAATAATTATATTCGGGGGACAGGTTGAAGTAACCCTATTAGTAGCGCCTCAAGAAACGATGAAGTTTTACCGGTCCTTCCCCCAAGGTCCCCTAGGAACCACGGGTACAATGCTCGTGGTCCCTCAGATAATTTTAAAAGCTACTTACCACGAAACTAGTCTGATATGGTTAAAAACAACTTTATAATGAAAGCATATATGGCATTTCTAAAGGGTATATAAATCACGATAGGCCAATAGTGTGAAAAAAATTAGCAGGACCACACAGAACTCGCTGGCGACAGTGATAGTCGGAGACAGCAGGAATAGCCCACAGGCAGATAACGACAAATCTGTAGATGTAAGTGACTAATGATCACACCGAAATCCAGCAAAATTCGTGGCGTCTACGTGGGACTTAGTTAACACTGTAGAGCATTTGATTATATGAAGAGAGCACTGTGTCACTTATGGCGTATAATACCGTCTGTTTTATCAGTCAATTATTAGCATACACGCTGATCGGCTTGGAAGGAGGAAAATGCCACGCAGTGTTCGCTGAAAATGGCGAACTCTGCACTGAGAATCCAGAGCCTACTGCTGTAGTGTACACCATATGGTGTGCTTGTCAGACCACTGCCGACGTAGTATGGTGACATAAAATAACAAACAAGGTAAGTCTATTATTTTTTTGTAATTTGATCTGCAGGGAAAGGATAAGAAAAACACTAACAAACAGGAAAGTCTGTCCTACCCATTCGGTCCCCAAATGCACCATGAAATGGCTTATGAACGCCAATAACGCTTTCCCCGATGAACTTGAAAAACTCCGCTGTGGACCCAAACGGAATATTCTCAGCGTCATCCGTGTCTGATACGCTTTTGGTGGCACTCGATGGTATACAGTACAGGGAGGAGTCGACCACCTCAAAATTAGGACGATCCGGCAGCTTGTAAAAAAGACGATGGCCGGCAGAACTCGATTCCTCGATCGACTTTTTGTCCATAGTGCAAAACGGTGAAGCACCAACCGGGAGGTGAAATAGGCCAACAAACAGCTATTGAGAGGGCGTGGACCTGCACGGGCAGTAGGCGGCCGAAAATTTACATCACTCGCAAGTGCCGCCGACGTTGACTACTGGCTATTGATGCTAGTCGCTGATTGGTAATTTCGACCTAGGCGGGAGTTTGGAGCATCCCACGAACACAGTTGTTAATGCAGCAATAATTTAACGTGTTGATGTTCAGATTCATCTTTGACTCAGAAGATATAATGAAGCTCCTCTATTGAATAAGTGGAACTAATAGTAGAATTGCCAACCTTAAGAGAATAATTGTCATTTTAAACCGAGAGTTTCCACAAATATGTCTCGAAAAATCTAAGTTCCGATGAATTTATTCTATGTAGTCGCAAATACTTGTGGGTGTTAACTATAATTTTGTATGCACACGGTGGTAAGTTGCTGCATAGTTTGATACTGAAGGAGAAGGAACGAGGACTTGCCACATCAGCCATTACATCCCGCAACAACTCCCCAAAGGGTCACCACAGTAGACCGCACGTGTTTGGACGACACTCTGTACGTGTAGATTTTCGTCAAAAATTCTTCTCCTGCTTCATGTGAATATCAGAAATGAGGAATATAACGCGCATCGTCTACATATTCCCACCAGTCAAACGCTTGGCCTATGCATCTCGAGGAGTCGACCAGCAAAAATTAGGGTACCATTTCCGACCAACCATATTTTACACCAAAAGGAGTCAGTATGCTGCCCAGCTGAGACCAAACCAATGTGTATTTACTCTGTTATCTGCTCCTGTCGAGCAGGTTATATTGGTCGCACGAGTCGGCGTCAATCAAAAAGAAAACAGGAGCTAATCCCGACAATGCTGATAAAAGACGAAATTAAAAACATCAAGAGGACTATTTCCGCACCCATTGATTGATCTGCACATCGTGTAAACCTAGCGATGTCTTCCGTGTAATTTATAAAGTCTCATAAACCTGCCCTGAGCCACCTGATCAGCGTCTTCTAGCAACAGCAGAGGCAACTGTCATCAGGTTGCAGAAGCCGGTTCTGCGTGCGCAGAAGAACCTTTGGCCAGCTCCTCGTCTACAGTGTATAAATGTCGGTTAACGACTCGCCCTTTTCCGTGCTCTCTTCCCCATCGTCCCACTACATCTCTGTCTTATTCCCCTTGCTGCTTAGCTCGCTACATATTATTATCTGATTCTCCCTACTCTCACACACAAATTGTGGGGAAAGTCGAAGCTTAATCGATTTCTCATATCGCTTAGAGGATTTAACTCTCATCCCGTTTTCATAGAAAAATGAGGACCTGACGATAATTTATTGAAAGCACACGCATGTTCACCAATGACTTTTTGAATCCTTCCATGGCAAATTATGCAACTTATCTGTCATTTCGAGAAATCTGAGATAGATTCATTTCTTTCTGTCGAACGAACTGCATCAGGTGTACGCGCGCATCAGTACACCTGAAGACAATTCGACCGAGAACTGAACACGGACCGAAGCCGAGTTTGCCTAGTCTGAATCGAAGAGGTCCGTGCTTCGTTGCATATTCGCTCTTGTCGATATGTTGACGGCTCATCGTGTGGGAAGGCCTACATGCGTCGGACATCGGGAAGCTGTCCATCGGTGATGATGATCCAAAGCCGCTCATCATGATAGGCTTTCATCGGCGCTGCGGAGAACACGCGAGTGAACAGAATGGGCCGAGTACGCAGTCCTGTTTCACTTTGTTGTCCACAGCTAATGATTCTGACACCTTGCTTGCCACAGCATCCCGTCGTTAAAATGACGTCTTCTATTATTCAACGATGTGGATGTTATGAGTTGTTCGAGCCGACACTGGCATAAAGCTTAGTGGCGTACGCCTTTCTCCCTACTATTACACTTGCATGTCTGAAAGAAGGACAGATCCCGTGAGAAGTAACGGAGAAAAATTTGCTCTCAGGAAACCGTTCAACGGAGCGGAGAAAATTAGTTCGATAAAGTTTATTTTAACACCAATTTCTAAAAAAAATCCTATCTGGTCGTATGGGTATTGTACTGTGCTTCGGAAAATTGTGTATTTTTCTCGCTCTATCTGCATCTGTGTTTTAAAGTAACATTTAAATGCGGGGATTTAATGTCAAATACATGCGGACATGCAATTCAGCGCATCTCCGCAGTATTTGTGGCTGTAATATTTTGAGACTGAAAGCAAATTTCATTCCCACGGATGCACTCGATAGAGAATCTGCCTCGATTTCTAATGGGCATAAGTCATGCTCTTGGTCACCCACGCGGATGTAGACGGAGAAAACACGAACAAACCACTTACTTTTGTCTACTGATGTCTCCCTGTCTTAGGTTAACCTGGATCCGTATGCCCGAAGCCTTGGAAATAAGCAGCTCATGACTCGTCTGCGTTATTGAAGTCGGACCAATCCGTGTGCAGTATTTATTTAATAAATTGCCGTTATGAGAGATGCATTCCGCAGCTGTGCCAGAATGATTGGACATGTATAGCTCTGTTGTGTTTATCAAGCATGCACTAAACATAACTAAACCAGTTGTTACTGGTGCTTAGTACTTTTGCGCTGTAGTTGCAATTCTTTGGCTTCTGCACACACTTACTCGATTGTAAAAGACTTTATCGCCACAATGGTTTCAGTAAAAATAATGTGGGAATTTAGTTTAAAATGGATCTGTGCAGGAAAATCAGTAGAAGACTTGTGAAGATAAAACACGTAGCCGTGGAAACTGATGCCCCTTTTGACTTTTTGGAAAAACATAGGGGCATGCAAACATTTGTGAGAAGCACAAATGTCATTAATGGCCTTACTAAAGAACGGTAAACGCGAACAGGAGACATCCGAGGAATCTCCTCCTCGTCAGCTATAACACGGATTCTTGTATACTGGCATACCTGGAAATGTGCTTATTGCAAACCTTTGTAACGCATCTACTTTCTCTTGACTGGGCCAAAATTGCATTGCTGGGGTCGTTCAAGAGGTCATTTCTCTTTAATTTTTAGCCCAAGTGGTTAATAATGCAGCAAGTTTTTGCAACACAGGTAGCGTGTGTCTCTTATATTGAATTGTCCTATAGAAACAACCGTACAGGTAAACTGCAAAGCGTTATCTGTTGTGGAGAACAGGTGCGGAAATGGGCCACCTGTCGATTTCTCAACATTTGTACCTGACATTTGGTCCTGCCCCAGCCCATAGGGGGAACAACGCACGTGATAACAACGGGCGGCCCAAAACATCCCAGTCCTCCGCAAGGAAATAAAAGAAAGTAATTTACATGGACGAGATCGAGGTCGAGGCCCGCAGCTCAATTTAAAAGATAAGTGAAGCTTTGCCTATACTTTGATATTCTAAGGCAATTAGTGCCTACTTTTTATTTGAGCCCTTTTTAAAAAGTCGCTTTTCGCTGTCGGGTATAATCTCTCCCAGTCTTGTTAGACAATCTGGTAAAGTAGTCGTATTTTTGAAGCGCATTTTAGTGACTCCGTGTCAGACTATCTCTATCCAAATTTCAAAGACGCAACCATTGTGCATCTCTACAAGCGCAAAGGGAATCGCCAAGTCTGCAACAATCACCGCGGCATCTCCCTGCTGAACATCGCCGGGAAGATCTTCGCACGAATCCTCCTCAACCGCCTCAATAACCATCTGGAACAGGGCCTTCTGCCGGAAAGACAATGCGGCTTCCGTCATCATCGTGGGACCACGGATATGATCTTCGCCGCCCGTCAACTTCAGGAGAAGTGTCAGGAGGTGCGGACCCACCTGTACTCTACCTTCGTGGACCTGACGAAAGCCTTCGACACGGTAAATCGTGAAGGACTGTGGAAGATCATGCAGAAATTCGGCTGTCCGGAGCGTATCACTCAGATGGTGCATCAGCTGCACGGCGGTATGATGGCGCGAGTCATGGACAACGGAGCTGTCTCAGAGGCATTCGCAGTGACCAACGGAGTGAAGCAGGGCTGCGTACTGGCGCCTACCCTCTTCAGTCTTATGTTCTCTGCCATGCTGATGGACGCCTACCGCGACGAACGCCCCGGGATCCGCATCGCCTACAGGACGGACGGTCACCTACGGAATCAACGGCGGATGGACTTCCAATAGCGCGTATCCACAACCACCGTTCACGACCTCCTCTTCGCCGACGACTGCGCCCTAAACACCACCTCGGAAGAGGAGATGCAACGGAGCATGTTCCTGTTCTCCGCCGCCTGCGGGAACTTCGGTCTGGTCATTAACACGCAGAAGACGGTGGTGATACACCAACCGCCACCCAACTCAGCCACAGCCCCCAACGCGCCGCCGCAAATCAGCGTGAACGGAACCCAACTGCAAATGGTGGAGAACTTCCCGTACCTGGGCAGTACTCTCTCCCGCAACACTAAGATCGACGACGAAGTCGCCAACAGGATCTCGAAAGCCAGTCCAGCCTTCGGTCGCCTCCAAAGCACAGTTTGGAATCGCCACGGTATTCAGCTGAGCACGAAGCTGAAGATGTACAAGGCCGTCATCCTGCCGACACTACTGTATGGAGCGGAGACTTGGACGGTGTACGCAAAGCAGGCACGCCGTCTGAACCACTTCCACCTCAGTTGTCTTCGTCGCATCCTGAGGCCTAAGTGGCAGGATCGAATCCCCGACACTGATGTGCTGGAACGGACGGGAATCCTCAGCATCTACGCCATACTGAGGCAAATTCAGCTGCGCTGGAGCGGCCAACTGATGCGCATGGACGACGAGCGACTACCCAAACGACTCTTCTACGGAGACGTCGCGACGGGTTTTCGCCGTCAAGGAGGCCAGATTCGCCGTTACAAAGATACCCTGAAGTCCTCCCTGAAGCACCTGCAAATCAACCCCACCAACTGGGAGGAGCTCGCACTCGATCGACCGACCTGGAGGAGGACAGTGAAGACAGGCGCTGCGATCTACGAAGCCAATCGCATCGCTGCCGCCAAAGCGAAACGTGAAGCCCGCAAATCACAACTTCGCCCAGTAAGCAACGCCGTCGCACAACCGCTTCCAACGTGTCCTCGATGTCAACGGACATTCCGGGTTCCAATCGGACTTGTTGGACATCTTCGGATTAACTGCGCCTCTCGAACGGCACCAACCATCGTCCCCCCGCCGGCCTCTTCCTCCTCCTCTCCGCCGCCAACTAACCCTCACAATTCTTCTGACATACCACTTCCATCATCATTATCCTCCTCCTCCTCCTCGCCCTCTGCTCCAACGGCGGCCGCTCAGGCGACTGTACCGCGCACAGCAACCGACACTACCACCACCTCCCCCGACTCCAGGGATGACGATCAGGACTACACCTGCCCTCACTGCGACCGTACCTTCACCTCACACATCGGCCTGGTCGGTCACTTGCGAATCCATCGCATAGAGACTGGCGAACCAGTGCGTGAAGCACCAACCTACACCCCCCGCACTTGCCTCCACTGCCTACACTGCCCTCGCACCTTCAGGCATCGCATGGGCCTTTTCGGCCACATGCGCATCGACGAGAGTGGCCTTGACCGCACTCCCGACACACCCACCACATCCACCGTGCACACCCCCACCCTCGTTCCATCCGTCCGCGCCACCACCACTGCCTCCTCTGTAGCTGACACTGACACCGCCGACTTCTCATGCCCACACTGTCCACGCACATTCTCCTCACGCATCGGCCTGGTCGGTCACTTGTGATTCCATCGCACAGAGTCTGGCGAACCAGTGCCTGGAGCACCCACCTATACCCACCAAGCTCGTCTCAACTGCCCACACTGTCCTCGCACTTTCAGGCATCGCACGGGCCTATTCGGCCACATGCGCATCCACGACGACCTGCGGTAGACAACCGCCGGCCACCACACGTTCACTCACTCCCTAGCTCCTCCACCACCACCACCACCATCACCCCACCAGAAATCAACACTCACACACCTCATGCACCCAACTGCCACCTCCCACGCAAGTGGGAAGTCCACATCTCGACTCGGTCCCCATGAGGCCTCGGCTGCACGTGTGATTTGAGTCCGAGACTATCCCGACACGTCAAGCGTCGTGGATAGGAACGTTGCTGATTGACGCCCGCTCTGTGTTCACGCAGTTCGTCGCGTTGTGTGTGTTGTGTGGAGTGGCGGACTGGTGGGCTGGGGACGGGCTGAAAAAGCACCCTCCACGGCACTCTCACGCAAGTGAGTGACACGCCGTTCAACCCCCGTTGTGTGAAATCCTGGTGTTTGTGTGTGTATGGGGGGCCAGGTCGTGCAGTGGCGCGCGCAGTCATGGTCAGTCGACCATGACAGCCACCGCGCCCATTCCCCACTTCAGTCTGCTGACCGGCTCGGACAGCGGCTGGGGTGTGGGAAGGGAGAGTGAGGTCGACGACTCAGCGCACTTTCTCCTCACTATAAACAATCTGACGCGCTTGAAGCTATCACGGTGCGTTAAAAGCCGTGGCTTGGAAGGTTGCCAACTGACGGGGTAACTTGGACCTCCTCCTTGACTGGAGGCGGTCTGAGAGTCAGGCTGCAATGGCTCCTTTTTAATGTGGCCTTTATGGCACTCCCATCACAGTGTGGGATACGAGCCAGGCATTGGCGGCACGCCCAGGTGCGGCTTCGGCCGTGATTGGTTGAAATCCTGGTCATTTGTTTTGTGTTCCAGGGGGTGTGGTGGAACGCCAAGGTGAGGACCCGTCCGAGCCATCCACCTGCGGCCTCCCTCGTCTCCGGTCTTCTTGACTCTGTCTTGACACCGGGCTCGGGCGAGGGAGGAGAGAGTGTAGGTAGATGCTACGCAAGTCTACCGGCACTATAAACCCCTGCGTACGTCACCGTCCCTGCTCCCATTGCTACTGCGACTGTGGGGCACACGGTGGACATCATCGAAACCGATGGTCGAATTGTCATCTAGTTTTCATAGTAAAATAACATCATTATTTGCTATTTCGGGCGTTTTTCTGTACGTTAGCGACGTTTCGATCCTTGTACTGCAACTGAAAACCTATCTAGTACCCTGTCATGTCCCCAAGAACACGTGCTAAAAGGCGAAAGCTGGCGGCCTCGCCGCCGTATCTGAGTGCTAAAATCGTGACCGGAGGCGCAGCAGGTGCTAGCATGTGTCCACTGTCTTCTCTGGATATGGTCACTTCAAAAATCCCTTTAGTCCAGGTAGAACTTCTTGACCCCTTAATCGTCCAAAACTACGCCTCTGTTAGTCGTAACAGAGCATCAGCCGACGAAATACTCGATCAGTTGATATATGGCGATATAAGCAGCACTTCTGAAAAAGTAATTGAACAAGCGTTCAAAGTTATTGGAGTAATAAGTTCTGAAACCCAGGACAGAATAAAACGCAAGCATAATTTTATACTGCGGAACATTCCGAGTCATTTATTTGCTATAGAGGAAGCGCATTTGTTCATGCATATTTGTGGCGTGTGTTGCAGTGTCGCACAAGCTAAACGACTACGCTCGCGCAGCCGTAATGCGCCGATATTTGTTGCGCTTTCCTCCTTGATATAAGTCGATTTTATCTTGTCGAGGAAGATGACTTAAGATTTCTGCCCCCACCTCCAGCGATGTGGACTCGGTCCCAACATGTCCTCATTGCGACCGCACATTCACCTCACATATCGGCTTGATCGGTCACTTGCGAATCCATCGCACAGATACTGGCGAACCAGTGCCTGGGACACCAACACACTCGCCGCGTCCGCCTTGGCTGCCCAAACTTTCGACATGCACTCACTCACCGAATGAGCCTATTCGCCACCATGCCCAGCCCAGCCAACTCCGTATCGACCTCAGCTCCCACCACCACAAAAACAAAGAGGGAATACAGCACACCTTTACTGACACTACCAAATTCAAAAGTAGAAAAGAACATAAACTGTGAAAAAAATAAAGGCCCGCTCAGTTAAGAATGCTGTTCGATATGAAAGACTATAATCGGTGTGTCAGAGGTTTGCGTGGGTCTTCTTTTCTGAAAATATACACACATCCATAATTGCGTAAAGAAAGGCGAAGAAAAGCATGGGTACGTGACCGCACATTTCGATATTAGGTGTAGTTAAAATTATTTTTTTATCAAAATGTCACAGCCAGAGGGAGGAAAAATTCTGAAAAAGACAGAGGTATAAAGCTTCAAGAAAGCGGGTCACTTTCGGTCAGAGAGACACCCTCTAGAAGGGGTTCCAAGTGCGAGACATCAAGGCCCTTCGAGATCACAGCCGGCTGTTCCCTAAGAGCCAGCCACCTGTTCTTGGCGAAACTGAGACAGAGCGTTTGATCGCGTACATCAGCCCAACCACCGTTGCGTCGGGCACTCGCCGACAGCACATCGCCGGTGGCCAGCTCTAGACGTTCGGGAAACAGCCAGGGGCGAAACTGATGATCGATTTCAGAGCGCAGTTCAGCTATGAAACGTCGGACATCACAACCTTGCTGTAAAGAATGCATTCCACTGAAAAGAGAGGAAACGAGAAAATATACCACGAGAATTTATCGAAAGCTACGTATGCTCGCCACCTCGTCATCTTATTACCACTATTGGAATTTTCGCAACGATAAAATATGCGTTGAAGTGACTTTACCAAACTCCTAACATAGGCTCTAGGTGACAACAGGGAAGTATTTATCGTTAACTTCCTACTACTGAATGATGCAACAATGAGCTTGCCTTATGAACAGATTCCCATAATTCCAGGTACAAATGAGGAAGAAAATATAGAAACGGACTTTGATGAGACCAGAAACTTCCATAGATTGCAGTGGCTTCTACTAACGAAGAGGAATTCACGGAACCTGCTCATCTCGTTGCGCCTTGACGCCCAGTCAAGAGCCCTCGCAGGCAGTCGCATAGAGGCCAGATAAATATTCAGGAGGGGGTACTGGCGAAGACAAGGGGACTAGGGTGGTCATTTCCGGATTACCAGCCATCATCAGCCGGTCGCAAACAGCCCCAAGTCTACATGACCCGCGACTTAAGCCCCGAAACTCTGAGCATGACTAGGTGACGACGGCTGAGTGCTATGGAAACGCAGTATCCAGAGTCAATATCACTCTGTCTTTTCCTTCCTAGGCACCAGTCCGCTGCTCGATCCGGTCAGTCATCTGATGCGGAAATTGAGCACAGTGACTGACAGAGCTAAAGTCGTCTGCGAGTGCCACATACACGACCTGTCCCCCCGCACAGCAAACTAGGATTTCATGCAAAGGGGGTAGATAGTTGGGATAAGAAATGCGTGAGTGCCATAGTGGCATGGTTAGCGAGCAACCATTGTGTCTGACTTTCAGCCCACCGGTCGGCCACTCAACACAAACACAGTGTAGACATCATCACAGTAGGCATCCATCAGACTTGCAGAGCACACGAGACTAAAGGGGGTGGAAGCGAGCACGCAATCCTGCTTCATTCTGTTAGTCACTGCAAATGCCCTCAAAACTGTCCTATTGTCCGTGACGGGTGTCATCATCCCGTCGTGAAACTCACGCACCCTCTGCGTGAATCGTTCAGGAGAGCCGAATTTCTGCATGATTTTCTAGTATCCATCAAAATTCGCCGTGCAAAAGGCTTTCGACAGGTTCGCGGAGGTAGTGTAAAAGTTGACATGCACTTCATGACACTTATTTTGCAGTTAGCGGGCGGCGAAGATCATTTCGGTGGCTCTGCGGAGCCATCTGACACCACATTGGCCCGCAGGGGGAAGTTTGTGTTCCAGATGGCCGTTGAGACGAATGAGGAGGAGGTGAGCAAAGATCTTCCCGACAATGTTGTGCAGCAAGATTCCTCTGCGACCATCACAGATTTGTCCGTTCCATTTTCGCTTGCAGAGACAGACGATAGCTGCGTCCGTGAAATCCTGGGTAACCTGACGTTGGCGCCGCTTCTCCTGGAATATTGTTGGAAGTTTCGCTATCAGCCAGAGACCGCCGTGCTTGTAGACGTCGGCCGGAATCGCGTCGAATCCCACTGCTTTCGCCTGAAGGTTTGTCGCACGGCTCTGATGATGTCTGGGAGGGAAGGCGGGAGGTGCAGGTCGTTGTTTGTTCCCACCAAGAGGAGACGGTTGATGGCGACGTCGGAGATGGTGGATGAAAGGTTGAGGACGGTTCTGAAGTGCTCAGCGGGCGATTAGTAATTTGTGACTTCTCCATGAGGAGTGGTGTTCCGAGGGAGGTGAGCAGCGGCGCGGTTTCCTTCATCTGTCTCATTACAGGATGCGTGATCATAATGACGCAAGGAACAACACCAAAAGGCACAACCGTTCACAGGGGCTGTGCCATAAATCTGCGTATAGGGAAGGACCTCCTCTAACTAGCCATACGTACGCAATAATATCTCTTTCTTAGCCGGCAAATCGTCAGGATAGCGACTAAACAAACGGCATGCATACTGTGGTAAAAAGGATTAGGCATCCAAACAGTTACGGTCACAACATAGTGCACGTACAGGTGAGTTATAAGGCAGATGTGAGGAATGCAAGAAACGTACATGGAAAACGTAGTGCAAAAAACGCCAAAAAACCCATAGATTAGACGATCTGCAATGTTGATCCACCATCACAAAAGTAATTTAGGGGAGTTAGGCTTCAGCAACGAAACTATACTACTGTCTATAAGTGGGGATACAGTTGAGCTGCAGGAGAGGGGCGAAGGAAACAGCACCAAAATAAAAGGATTACTTTTTCCAAAATTCTC